TTCCTGCTGTATGACATTCTGGAAATGGTAAAACTATGGAGACAGTAAAAAGATCGGTGGTTGCCAAGGGGTGGGGGAAGGGGAAGGATGGTGGAGCATAGAGGATTTTTAAGGCAGTGAAAATACTCTGTACGATACGTAAAGGTCATTATACATTTGTCCAAACCCACAGAATATACAACACCAAGAGTGAACCCTAAGGTAAAGTATGAACTTTGGGTGATTATGATGTGTCAGTATAGGTCCATTGATTTTTAACAAATGTACCATCTAGTGGGTGATGTTAATAATGGGGGGAAGCTATGCGTGTGTGGGGCAGGGGTATATAAGGAAATCTCTGCACCTCCCCTCCAATTTTGCTGTGAACCTAAAACTGCCCCAAAACTAATGAGCTTAAAAGATGTTAACCTGACACTACCCCCTGCCCTGCTACCCCACCAAATAAATTTTTTCTAGAAAAAGAGGTCTTCCAGCCATCTTTATTTAGCCCTAAGCAACTTGTTCAAAACACCCCCAAATAAAGTCCCACTCCTCTCTGCCAGGCAACTTCCTGTGTCTGATCACATCCAGGCCTGTCTCTGGAGAGACACTGCACCTTAAACGGACAAATTCGTTGGATACCACCTTCTATCAACAAGTTGAGAAGGACACAATAAAATACTGATATGACAGCAGGAAGTGACAGGATCACACAGAAAATGTAGGGACATTATCAACTATATCTGCCGAACCTTTTAGCGCACTATGCTTCTTTTAATATTTTGGTAATTACTTCTGTATATAATAACGATTATTTACCAATATCCCCTTTTGAAAAACTAACTGCTCAAACCTTATACTGTGATGACTGGTGTCATGTGCAGGTCCATTTGCTTACATGGGGGAGAAAAAACCCCACCACAACTGGATCCCATTTGTTTTTTCAAAAAAAAAAATAATAATAATTCAATGTAAAACATGAACATTTAATTAGCTTTAAACAATGTATGTAATAATGTACATGCTATACAATCCCAAACACACTGAACACAAATGCAATCTTATAAGACATATACACAACCTACTTTTTGCCAACATATATCCTGTAGGTCACTTAGGATGTTAGCTGGTTTCTCAGCCCAGGTGTGAGCATATAAACACACATATATATACGCCTCAAACTGAAGATTAAGATAATAAACCAAAGAGCTGAATGTAAGAAGTCTGCCGTGGAAGATGCTAAAACCACAATCAGTCACTGGAACCAAGTAACAAGGCACAATAGCTTCCCTCTGTGGTCACAAGGCTTAAGTTTCTCGTCCCAGTGCTTAAATATGGAAATAGACGTGGCTAAATCACAAACTCTATTTTATAGTGCATTTCCGTCACTGTTTAAAAAGAAGTATTTTTTCTTATTACATATGCATTACAGAAAAGCACTGGAAAAATAAATAGGATAAGCTCATACAATAAAGCCTTTTTTTCCATTTGAAAAAGTTATTTATGTTCAAAATTAATATAACAGATGTAGGTGTAATAAAAAGAAGCATAAGGGATCCTATGCAGATTTCCTAGTACCCTTCAATCATATCTTGTGTCACCCATGTTAAATTGTCCATTTTAAAGCCAGCTGGGTGATACTGTCAACTGAAAGTCATTTTCTTTCTTTCTTTTCTATTTTTTCTTTTTTTTGGTGCTTTAATAATATGTACTAGTACAGAGAATAAAGTTATCAATAACGTGGCAAAATGAAACTCTTCCTAGCATTTAAGTTTTTTTGTTAAACATTAACTTTGTATTAGGCTATCCTTAATTTTCCTTTTTTTCTTTTTTCTTCTATGTTAACAGAGAAGAAAAAAATGTTTCACAGAGAATTCATGCAACCAAGCAAAATCTAAACTATCCGTATTCCTTTTTTTTAACCCCCAAATTCTTGGGTAAATTGAAAGTTTATTCTAGGAAGAACAATTCATTGAGAGATAAAACAGTTTAAAAATATACATATATGTACTATTCATTGTTTCTAAGAACAGCTTAGAGCTTTAGCTTCGTAAACTTACATACTTATCAAAGGAATAAAGCCAGCCACAAAACAAGAATCAACAGGATGCGGTAATCCATTCACAAAAGACAGTCAAATGTGCTTACACATATACAAGAAATCAACAATGTAAGCTGTAAATAATAAGTCGTCAAATGTAGCACTAAACAAATTATAACCAGAACAAAACCGTCAGTTTCGTTAATTTTGACCACGAAAGTGGGACCAGCCAAACATGAGCTTGGCAGTGTCCTTCGACCACCGTTTTGTTTCCACAGGGGCACTGCAGCACGCAGCTCCTGCGGGGACCAGAGCAGCTGCTCACAAATACAACCGGACTGACCAAGGGAAACACACAACCAACCATCTTGCTCTAGGCTCTAAAACTGAAGAGTAATGTAATGAATAAACTGAGACTTTAAGGCTTTCTTAGAAGTATTTTTCATGGCACTTCAACAATAAACACCAATAGGCAAAATTTGCAAATATTCAAAGTTACATAGTTACACAATTGAAAGTACATGCCATGTCAATTATTAAGTAAGGGACCACGTTGTCAGTTTTGTTTTCTGGCAATCAAACTATACTTATGGAAGGCTATTCCTATTTGACTGTAATTAACATGTAAATCATAGACATGTCAGTTCACTAGTGTACAGTACAAACTGCATCTGGAGTAAACTGGCCAGTACCACCTGCTTCTTAAAGAGCTGAAGGTCATTCATTTCTTGCTAGAAACGCAGCTAAACTGCCTTCTCTCACAAGAGCAGTTAGCATCCTGACTTCAGCTATCAACCTACTGGTAAACTCTAAGATCGTCACTAGGCCAATTCCTTGGGTCACGCACACAGACCACCCTCACGATAATCCATTTCTCGCACCGCAGGCAGCCAGAAAACTCTCTCTGAGCCTAACACGTCATTCTGGCCACGCCATATTCCGAGCTGACCACAGCAGGCTCCGCTTTGGAAAACTCGTCCGCGTACTCGCTGTAGCGGTTATCTGCGGGGTTGCTGCCCTCTATAGTTCGGAGGGCATCATTCACAGGCAGCAGAGTCTGCTCCTTGAGACACAAGGAGGTTTTGAGGGCAGGTGATTCAGGACGAACTGAATTTAACAATTCCTTGGTGAGAACTCCATCTGTCTGCTTATTTTTATGTTGCTTGATTTGCTAGAAACAAATCCAAATTTGAAAAAAATTACAAACTGTACAGGCTACACGTTCAATATATGTTAGATGAAAGTAGACAAAAATCGAGCTTCTGCAAATGTTCTCTTTATGTACGATGCAAAATTAAATCTCAAAAAATTAAAATCTAGTGTGAGACATGGTTGAGAATCCCAACTGTGTACAACTTTTGCAGTAGAGAACATATCTGACAGAAGATCACTAGGCCTTCATATCTGAAAAGCACATACATTTCCTAGAAACTATAAAAAGTAAACATTTTATAATGAGAGAAATATATATGTGAGACAGTCACCCTGAAATCACAGCTATATAATGTAACAAACACACACTCATTTAGTTGAAGGTGTGACAGCCTGAAGAGCTTTCTTATGTGGTTTTCCTACAATGGTTTGGTAGGTGAGCATGACAGCCTATAGAATACAACAGAATTATTTTAACAGATTTTAAAAGGATTCTTTGGCAGAGTTCCACACTCTCCAGATCCTTGGACTGATCTTCAGACAACCTTCTTGTACCGTCTATATCTTGGGCTTGCCTCTCCTACAGGTCACTCAGGCAGTCATGACCTCCTTATCTGAGAGGTGACCAGCAACACTCCTGTCTGAGAGGCAGACAGGATAGTCTCACCGAGTAATAACAACTGGCCAGAATTTCTTAAAACATGGACTTACTGATCCTTTTTGTTACACATAATGGTAAAGAAACGTCTTAGGGTGGAGAAGGATTTCTTACACAAGATATACAAAAAGGCATAAACATAAAGACTGGTCAATCTGACTATATGAAAATTCACATCAACTATATGAAACATACCATAAAGAAAATGGAAAAGACAAGAAAAGACTGGACAAAGCCATTGGTGATACATTTAACTAAATAAGAATTAGTGTGTGGTATATAAAGAATTCTTATAAATCAGTAAGAAAAAGGCAAATACGCCAACAGAAAAATGGTTTGAATAGGCCATTCGCAGAAAGGGAAAAATTCAACTTCACTCGTCGTGGCAATCCGAAACTGCAAATAACTGAAATGTCTAGCATAGCTGAATTGATGGACTGTGATACAGTCACACAAGAGAATACGATACAGTAGTTACTGATAAAACAGATGAATTAAAGCTACGTGTATCAACGTTGATAAATTTCAAAACAATGTAGAGCAAAGTGAAGCATGACAGTGTGACAGCCTTTGTATAGCTTTAAAACGTGGTTTCTTAAGCGGAGTGAAGGGGACCTGGGCATTCATGTTGCTTGTTGCCCTCTACATCTTATACGTGACTACTTTCTTTTTTCAATATATAATAAAAATAATATTTCAAATCATATGCAACAATGCTATAAATTGTCTGTGGATATAAACGTATACAGAGGAAGTATAAAAATATGCACAGGAATGACTAACACCAGATTCAGCACAGCAAGTGTAGTGGGGAAGACTCAGTAGGGCTCACAGGGTCTGCAAATAGACCGATAATGTGTCTTCCCTTCAAACAGAAACATGAAAGGTCTGAATCAAATACCGTAAATCTTAAAACCTCACAAAGCTAGGTGGTGAATAGCCTGATATTTATTATATCTCTATTTCTCTATATATTATACTCCAAATAGTTCAATATATTTTAAAATTCAGAGAAAGCGATTTAAACTAACCTGCTCAAAGCAGAGGAGACCTGATTTTGAAGCAACCATGAGCGCTTACAAGATTTCTATTGATATGTAGACTACGTTTACACTGAGAGCACAAGTGAGGGAATAAACTAATTTAATATTCCAAATGTGTTACATCAGATACTTCAGAATACTTACGGATTCTAAGTCTTTAACATCTTTCTGTAACTGCTTATTTTGCTCATTCATATTCATAATTATATTAAACACAGACTGCCTAGGATGCAATGTTCGATCAAACTGGTGGTACATGTTTCTCCAAAACCTTCATGACAAAAAAAGAAAAAAATATACTTCAATAAATCGTGCTGGAGAAAAACTGAGTATAAACACTTCAATACTGCCAGCTTACTTAAAATTGAAAGATACTGTATTCGGCTCCAAAACTGCCAGCTTCTGAGACGCGGAGCTGTAGAGAGGATTGCAGTACTTCTGCCGGTCACCCAAGAGGAACGGCCACAGGGAGTGAGTCCTCTCCTTTAACCTAACGGGGCGAGAAAACCATGACGGTCTTTCCCAGAGCCGCTGATGCTCACTTTTATAAAGCAGGCAATCATTTCCCACGTAGATTTAAGTTTCAGTCTTTACTTCTATTCACAGTCTAGCCTCACCTCTGAATTCCTCACACTTACACTGTACATACTTTTCTGTATGTATGCTACACTTCAAAACAAATTTTAACTATTAACCCGAGAGTGTGAGGGGTGTTCAGAGCATACTCAGCTTCAGAAAAACAGACAATAAAATCTTTACAGTAAGACTCAGTTCTATATCATACTGTCAAGACAGTTTAAGTTCAACTATGATTTATGTTAGACCTCAGCTAAATAGGAAAGAAGAAAGCCCATTTCAATCAACTGTCTTACTTGAGTTCTTCTCTTTCCTTCTGACAATTTCCAATGAAGTTTCCAAATTGGCATGAATGAATATGTTCATGGATCTGAAGAAGAAACGCTTCATTGAATTCGAAGGCTTGTGGAAACTGTTCAGTCAACTGCCACACACATTCCAAGAACTGAGTAAACACCGGTGAAACTTCCTTTGGGTCACCATCCAAATGGCCACACCTAACCCCCCAGAAAGTACAAGCTTTTGAAAATGCCACTGAAAGAGGTCAACTGTTCGAGTATTGTTAAATTTAAATACATATCCCCCCCTCCAAAAAAAAATCGTAAAACATTGTTACATTGGCATTAAAAAAAAAAAAACTGTCATGTTTTTATTGAAACAATTTACACCTATGAGTTTTCAACCACAATTTTAACGGGTCTGTTACATTCTAACTACTACAATGCAGACAAAAAGGAACGTAATAAACTGCTATGAAAATTAACAAAAGTATCAGACTTGAAAAAAATGACAGAAAAAGAATTAAATCGGTCTTCATACAAAAAAACACCGCTCTCACCTCCCATCAGACATGGGAGCTCATGAAGAACAGGAACATTCAGGTACTCTAAATTAGTTCTACTAACTTTACAAAGTGCCTAAATGTATAACTGTGACTCACCTCTCCGAATATTTATGTCCAAAGGAGATCCAATCTTTTTCTATTAAAACCTTAATGAGAAAAAGTAAAATCCATTTTGTAACCACAATTCTTTTCTTGTTTAGAATGGATTGAATCTTATTATCTTAAAAACAGCATTTACACTTTTAACTTATGGTGGCAAACAAAACGAAATTTTTAAAATTACAGGCAAAAGACAGCAAGAACCTGGGTTAGAGGCTGGCTTAACAAGGAGTGAAAATGATACATAAAAAGAAATACAGTAGGTCTTGTGACTTAAATTTACTTCAGTTGCATTTATTCCATTTTAAGTGAAAAGCGCATGTTATAAAACACTATTGCATTTACATTTTTTGTATGTATGATGATATATGCACAGAAAAAAGGTTAGGAAAATGAAAATCAGAAGGTTACCAGTGGTTACTGGGTGGCAAACTGGGGTGGATGTTTAAACCTTTTGGCTTACTTGTACGTTACTTCTGTAATACTTTTTAAAAAAAAAAGGATGGTAAAGAAACCAATGAAAAGTTTATATTCAAATTCAAATGTTGATATGCGACCTCCTGAGTGCACTCTTTTCTGTTACAACTCTACTGAAATGATAGGTTTCTAATTATTTTCGGTCTAATCTAAACAACATTATCTTCTTAGTATTTACTATACTTTCTAATTTCATTATATAATCACCAAGTACATTCTTTTCCATGTCAAAATTGCCACTTTTAGCTCCTCTGACTTTGTCTTAAATCTCTCCAGAAGGCCATGGCACGTGTGGGTAAAGATGCAGATTCTGGAGTCACAGTGCACGGGATCAAATCCCAGCTTCCCCACTTCCACACCCGGCAACCTCGGGCACATGGTCTGGGCTGTAGCCTCGGCTTCTACCGTGGGCCCTTTGCCATCCTGCCACACACCCACGTCTGAAACTTAACTCAACACCGTTCTCACTCAACTCACTCTGCCGCTTCTCTCAGCACAGTCCATCCTGCCAAGTGAGCGCAGAGCCTGGAAGCAATCCGAGAAGAGGCGTCTTCTCCCCAACCCACACCCAGTCCGCGAACAACGCTTACTCTGCTGTCTCGCCCTCCCTGGAGGGGCCTGTCGCCCACTCATCCATCCACGGGGCACTGCCTTAGTTCTGGCCCTCTTTTCTCTCCTAAGTCATCCTAACGGCTTCTACGCAGGTCTCCTAGCCTCCATTCCCACCCCTCTGCCTTCCAGACACCATCTTTTTAAAAAGATGAGCTCTGAGCATGTTCCCGTTTCCCGCGTTTAAAGCCTGTTGCTGGGCTTCCCTGGTGGTGCAGCGGTTGAGAGTCCGCCTGCCGATGCAGGGGACGCGGGTTCGTGCCCCGGTCCGGGAGGATCCCACGTGCCGCGGAGCGGCTGGGCCCGTGAGCCATGGCCGCTGGGCCTGCGCGTCCGGAGCCTGTGCTCCGCAACGGGAGAGGCCGCAACAGTGAGAGGCCCGCGTACCACACACACACCAAAAAAAGCCTGTTGCTGGCTCTCACTCCCCAGCAGGAGGACATCCAGTTGCCAGACCTCTCCTCCTCGGGCCCTGGCCCACCCCGTTCTTCTGTGCCAGCCTCACCCCTCACACAGCCTGCACCCTACCCATCACCCGCCAGCTGCAGTCACCTGCAGGAGCCACACTTTAGTCCTCACCGTTCCTCTAGCCTGCGAGGCTCCCACACGGTCGCCGGTCACTTACTGCACGCTTTCGTCTGGACGCCCGGCAGACAGTGAAAGCCAAACATGGCCAAGGAAACACCCTTATCTCACACACTCAAGGCAAGCGGAACCTTACTTTATTAGAAGCCCTTGCATTTGACCTGTCCCAGATGCAACATGCTGGCACCACGAAAACAATGGTTCTGAAAGGGGTCTGGCTGTGTTAAACCTTCCCCTGCTTTAAGACAGCACTGTGTTTCATAATTCTAAACTAATAAAAACTGCCTACCAGCTCTTCATTTATTTTACCTGCCCTGAGTTAAAACATAAATTGTGAAAACAGGAGTTAATCTGACCATGCTCATGCATTAAAAAGCACACAAAACCCAGGAGCCAGGGCTTCAGCGCCACAAAGCAGGAAATCTGCTTGACTAGAAATTTCACCTTCAGATTTAAAACATGCTCCCTAAAGTGTAGTTACAATTAACAAGTGAAGGTGTATTAAATAGAAAGGTTCCTCTAGAATATAATTTATAAGTACTCTTATCTATGTCTTGTCTTACTACATTATTTACATTTGTTAGATAAAAATGAGGGAGAAATACTGAATATTTCTATTGCAACATTTTACGGGTGAAAAACACCTTTTAATCTAAAACTTTTTGTCAAAGAGACGGCACAAGTGGAGATTAATCTAACTCAGAGTTTCTCAACCTCAGCAGTACTGACATTTTGGGCCAGGTAATCCTCTGTTGGAGGGACCGTCCTGTGAATAGAGGTTATTAGCAGCTGGCCTCCACCAGCTGGATCCCAGGTACACCCTTTCCTTTAGTTGTAACAATCAAGATGACTCCTGGGGGGGACAAAATCGCTCCTATTTGAGACCAGTGGTCTGGCCAAACAAGTCCTTACCATGAATCCTCTGATTGTCCTGTAGTAGGGATCCAATAAGAGAGAGCCCAGGGAACAGACCTGGGAAGTCCTGTCCCAGCCATCAGAGCAATGTACCAACACACTCGCGTTTTCAACCATTATTGCCTGAAAAGGAAGACCACACATTTCGATTCTAGCAAAACCCATTTTAGGTAAATCAGTAAGTGTTATTTACTCAAAAACCAAAGTAGCAGGTATTGCATTATAAAGAAGAGCTAGGACTGCAATGATTATGTTGTCACAGCATAATCTCCAAGGAACCGGACAAAACACAAAGCGAACAAACAAAACGCACAGACAAAAATGCTGTTTCAATGTGTCGGGGAATTTCTTTTGAAGTTCCTACATTAAGTGCTACATGATATTTTTAAAGTTCAAATTAAAGTGAACTTCATTAAAGAGGTAAAACATAATAGAAGTTATCTGGCAGGAAAGGATACCAGCACCCAACAGAATAAATCCATTCCTTCCCAACCAGTCAAAGCCCAGATCAAACGTGAGTGAAGAGGGGTTACTCTGGCTAAGAAGATTGCAGCGTCCGTAACGGCTTTGATGTGGCGCAGCCATCCTGCGTTCTCCAGACCTGAGTAGAAATCACTGACGGAAAGCCCTTTGGTACCGTTGACTGCAAGGGGAAAGACATTTCAGTTAGAAAGGCGCCTGAGTGCCCACTTCTGTTCAAGAGACCCCTAGGGGAACGAGGTGGGGAAGAAGAGAAGAGGACAAAATAAACAGGCAAGACTCTTTATACATGAACACATGCTATTAAAAGCTCAATAATGGAGTTTTAGGTACTTTTTTCTGTCATTCCTCGTGCTTAAAAAAAAAAAAATTGCTCCAATACCCTTTTTAAAAAAATTTTCAACACAAATGTGTAACTAAAAATGGGCTTCCCTGGTGGCGCAGTGGCTGAGGGTCCGCCTGCCGATGCAGGGGACGCGGGTTCGTGCCCCAGTCCGGGAGGATCCCGCATGCCGCGGAGTGGCTGGGCCCGTGGGCCATGGCCGCTGGGCCTGTGCGTCCGGAGCCTGTGCTCTGCGACCGGAGAGGCCACAGCAGTGACAGGCCCGTGTACCGCAAAAAAAATTAAAAAATAAAAATAGAAATAGTCTGAGGGGCTTCCCTGGTGGCGCAGTGGTTGAGAGTCCACCTGCCGATGCAGAGGACACGGGTTCGTGCCCCGGTCCGGGCAGGGCCCACATGATGCCCCAGCAATTCTAGGTATATATATATATATATTTATATTTATATACCCAAGAAAATTGAAAATATACATTGCACATGAAAGTTCATTACAGCATTATTCCCAGTAACCAAAAAAAAAAAAAAAAAAAAAAGTCTGAGATTTCAGTTTTTTAAGTTCCACACCAAGACTGCAAAGATAGCTTAATATTTAAATGGAACACTGTCATAAATTAATCTTCACTGTACGGACTAATCAAGAATATCTAACAATAGCAATTTTTTGTAAAACCAGTAGAATTATACTAATAAATATAGTAGCCGCTACGGAAATACAGCTATTAAACACTTGAAATGTGGGTAGTCCACAGTAAGATGTAAATACAAGAGACACACTAGCGAATTTCTAGGACTTAAAGGAAAATATGCAAAATACATCACTACTAATTTTTTATACTGATTACATGTTAGCATGCTTTTAATATATTAGGTTAAGTATATTATTAAAATTAATTTCAACTGGTTTTTACTCTTCTGAACGTGACTACTAGAAAATTTTTAATTATATAATTTTAAATTTTATAATGTGACTAGCATTACATTTCTATGGGACAAAGCTGCCTAGAAGGTAAGCAATAATCGTACCTTCCAATAATTTCTGAAGGCTGGACCGCATGACATGAATATTTTCAATTCCAACAAACTGAAATCTAATATTAGAATAGTTGTCTTCATTTTCATAACCTTTTCCAGCTGCTCTGTTGGCCATTGCATTCAGCTAAAATTTTAAATTTTAGAAATTTAGAGACAAATTGCTTTTATCTTTCAGTTTACCAAAATATCACGAAAACACTAAATAAACCACAATTTAGCTAGCAGAGTTTAAAGGAACTCATCAAAACTGAATATACTACCATTTTTTAATAAGTGAAAAGTGTCATATATGTTATTCATAGTACAGAAGATCCTATAAAGTAATAAAATGACTGCTATATAAGAATCAGATAAGAAGTTCCCCACATATAATTCATAAAACTAATTCACATATGTATTTAGTCACTTTTCCATACGTTTGTAATATATTAAAATTTAAAAAAAGAAAGAAATGTCTCCTGTCCAAACCCTATATGATTCAGTGTCGAGCAGAGCTGGGGAGTTTTTACAGAATGAACTTAGAAGATTCACTTCAGAACAAGCCTGGAGCACTTAATCATTCAGAAAGCCACAGGGACCCTGAAAAATCACATCTGAAACATGCATCAGATTGTTCCAGGTCCTCCATATTCAAGGTTACTGGAAGCCCACACCCTATACGACACAGCATATGATGAGCTAGCCTGATACATCTCCAAGAATTGGGTCAAAAATAGCCCGTTTTCTAGGGAGAGAAGACTGCCTATAGGCCCACGGTCTTTGGTTATTAGATCAAATGCTATCAGAGGTTAAGATTTGGCATGTTTAATTCTTTCAGACTAGGATTTCATATGGTACGTCATGATAATTTGCTAAATAGTCTTATGAACTTGGATGAAACAGAGCCTAAGTTGGAAGAAAAAGTTGCTCTTCATGCAGTGGATTGGGGCCCAGGTTGGTAAGAAGTATAGTTAAATTGTGTCTACTGACCCACTGGTCATTCAGCACCTGTGATGGCTAAGGCAAGAGTTAGGTGTTTAAATGCTTCCACATTATTATCACTTGAGTTTAACTAGTAAAACGAACCAATCAAAGAAAGATTTATTTTCTGTGTAGGAGTCAATTATATAAGTAAGAGATATGAGGGCCTGAGAAACAAATCACACCCTCAGACCTCATGTTCAGAAAGTCTTATGTTACAATCATCTTTTTATATCTAGTATTACCTAAAAATAGTTCTAAGCAATTAACCCACCCAGATTATACAAGTAAACTAAAATTCTTTTTACAAGAGGTATCACCAACACCCTTGAATTCTAAGAAAGTCTTTTTTTAAAACAAAAGAATATCAAATTATCAATTTCTAATTTTTAATACTTCTTAATTTATGCAAATTAATCTTATCTTCTGTTTTCTCCATTATCTTTTGTGAAATTGCATAATGATGAGAATTACTTCTAAAACAACTACCATTCCTTTCAACAAAGCTGCCTAAAATTGTGTTCTATATCGCTCACTCGCTTTTTCCCATCGCTTTCTCTTATTTTCTCATCATTCCAGATTTTTGAAGAAATTCTCACTATAATTCTGCCAATGTCCTTTTGTGTAGCCCACCAGCTCTGCATGCGATGCTATAATAAAAATTAAAAGTAATGTTAGCTATTACCATTGAGGATTTTACTTACTTTAGTTTAAGAATCTTACACGAATTGGTTGTTTATCTGTGTTTACAAAAAGAAAAGGGGATTCTAACATTTGTTCCAATGATAAAAATTTATCCTGACATTATAGATACCTAACAGAACAACTATTTACTGTTCACTATTTATAATTCCCTAGTTCAATATTTCCTAAGTTAGCTCACTATCTATTTCCCTTATTTTCTTGAATATTCCAAATTACAGTCCATTATTTTAACAGCGTTTTGCCAATTAAAAATTCCACCAAAAAAAGTAATAAGAATTTCTAATTTTCACAACACATACTATTCAGTATTTCTTCACAATAACATAAGGCTTACATATCATCTAAGCTCCCAATATAAAATTCAGGTTTCCTAAATTTGTATATATATCAGAAGACATAAGAAATCACCACCTGGGTTATTGGGAAATTGGTCTCCTAAGTTGGTATCCTTTAAAAGATTGATTTCCTTAGTATCATTAGCCTCAGTTAATTTACAACTAGGATTCAGATATGTTAAATACGGATGAAGTGATCAGTTCCCACTAACTGAATTAGCAGAGACAAGTGAACTGCCAGACCACACTAGACTTAAGACACATACTCTGGGCCTGGTGTCCATGACATACATGTAGCGGTTGGCTGGGTTGGCTTTGCTGATGGCCTGAAGCAAGTGTTCATCCTCCAGGCACCGGGCACTGAATCCTGACAGTGGCTGACTACATCGACAAATGGCAGCCTAGTTTTAAAAGGAGAGGAAATAGATTATCCAAAGATGTCTAAAACACACCTCAAAGACATGCTTAAAGGAAAAAAACCCACAGTTAAAATCAAATGTGCAATCGATTTAAAAGTCAGGGAACTAAGATCCCACAAGTCTCACAGCACAGCCAAAAAAACAAAAACAAAACAAAAACAGAAAGCAAAACAAAATCAAAAAACAACAAAAAAATGCTATAGCAAAAATAAAGGAGCCAGGAGATGGAGTGGAGATAAGGTTGAGGGTATCTTCTAGAATGAGATAAAGAGAGAATTTAGAGGGTATTAACTTCCTAGCATACAAAGTTTATGCTAGGAAGCCCACTTGTCCACATACACACACAAAAGTACAAAGAAAATTAACACAAGAGAGGAAGCTACCAAAGAAATAGAGGGGCAATTTCCCAAAACTGAGTCCTGAGTTTCCACGTAGAATTTAAAACAACATGCCAAGGCCTGAAATCACTGTGAAATTTCAGGACACGGGGGGGAAAGAAAATTCTAAAACCTTCTCAAGGAAAAAAATCAGGCCACAAAAGACTGGGAGTCAAAACTGGCATCCATCCCTCAAGTTACCAGCTGTGAGGACAGGAAAATGATTTGCCCTCTCTGAACCACAGCTTCCCCATTTGAGAGGTACAGGGAGTACCCAGAGACTACCTTATAAAGTTATGTGAGGATCCCACGCGTATAAGGCATTAAATATGCAGTACCTCCTGGCCTTCTGTGGAGACCACAAAGACAAATTGTACCAGGACGGGCAAGCCCAATTACAGAATCTCAGTGAAAAGACTCTTCCACCTATTCATACAGCAAAAATCCTTCTGATCTGAAGAGCTGACTACTAAAATGGGAGCCTGAAACACCCTTGGCTCTTTCCC